TATAGCGGATGATTTTTATTGAAAATTAGTATTTATTGATTTTCAGCCCCCAAGTGACTGTGGCTAGTCTCGATAAAAATCATACTCTTGAGTAGACGTCAATGACTTACGGTAAAACTTAGACTATTTTAGCCGTCAGGAATGATTGGATTTTCATGGAAAAACGGTATGATTTTTTTTTCAAATCAAAAAATAGTTGTTTTCAAAAGATAAACTGCGCATTTGAAGACTAATTTAACATCGTTTACAGTGACAACAACTCGAACCGAAACGAAGATTACGCCACCGTCCCTCAACACCTTTAGACAATAGCGTTTCTTAACCGGGTGTTGAGGGACGGTGATTACGCACTCTCGCTAGTCACAAAAAACATACTCTTGAATAAAAACTCTTTTTAGGCGTCAGGAGATTGTAATGTCCGAAAAATTACGCCTAAATATTTAAATAACAAATATTAAATAAAATCTGCCGAAAAATCGCCGATTTCTTGGTCCCATTTTATTTTTTTAAAAACCCAAACTGCCCAGAGGCAAATTTACTGCAGAATCTGGTACTAGTATGTACAAATTTTGGGTGTATTGTTTTCTTGGGACAATATTAATCGAAACAATGAACTATTTAATTATATAACACAAGTGACTATGGGAGAAAAAAATCACTTTTCTAGAAGCCATGGATCGATTAGTTATTTGCAAGATCTCCTCCCCGGCAGGTTCTATGAGGCCATGCATTTTCTTGCCAGAACCGTATTAAGTCTAAGTTAAGTCTGACACCAGTTCATTTATCTTGGCTTATGAAGAACTTGAGGGTAAACCCAGTAATGATTTAAAATTTGTAAAAGCAGAATTATATTTTAATAACTGTAAAAATAGAAGAAAACCAAGTAAATAATGCAGATTGCTGACATGTAAAGGTGGAATGAACATGTAAATAAAGTACAATATAAATGTGATTAATGCCTGTTTATGTTTATTGTGTAATAGTTCGTGCAAAAAAATATTTAAAAAAAATAAAGTGCGATAGCGACAGGGACCCCACATATTTTTAAGGGACCCACACATTTTATAAGGGGTGGGTCCCAGGGACTCCACATTATCAAACACTAATGCAACCCCTGATTAAAATTCATAAAACATCAAAAAATTAACTAATTATACAAATTAGGTAATTAATATGAACAATTATTTATCCCAAAATTAATCAAGTCTCTGCATAGTCCTAGAAGATCTATGTCGCAAGTCTCATTGAAATGTGATGATTAGTACTTGAGATATCAGGTGAAAAGCTAAAAATTAACTAATTATGCTAATAATGTGATTAATATGCACAAATATTTACCCAAAAACTGATTAGGTCTCTGCACAGTCCTCAAGTAACTATGTACCAAGTTTCATTGAAACATGATCATTACTAGTCGAAATATCAAAAGCTGAAAATTAATTAATTATGCAAATTAGGTAATTAATATGTACTGATATTACCCTAAAAACTATCAGGTCTGTGCAGTGTCATATGACATCTATGTACCAAGTTTTATTGAAATGTTATGATTAGTACTTGAGATATCAGTGGAAAAGCCGAAAATTTATTAATCATTATGCAAATTAGGTAATTAATATAAACAGATTTTTACCCAAAACTAATCAAATCTGCGCATTAGTTCAGAGCATCCATGTGCCAAGTTTCATCAAAATCCAATGAGTGGTTCTTCAAATATCAGTGGAACGGTCATAGAACAGCTTAAAATATTGATATTACCCTAAAAACTATCAGGTCTGTGCAATGTCATATGACATCTATGTACCAAGTTTTATTGAAATGTTATGATTAGTACTTGAGATATCAGTGGAAAAGCCGAAAATTTATTAATCATTATGCAAATTAGGTAATTAATATAAACAGATTTTTACCAAAAACTAATCAAATCTGCGCATTAGTTCAGAGCATCCATGTGCCAAGTTTCATCAAAATCCAATGAGTGGTTCTTCAAATATCAGTGGAACGGTCATAGAACAGCTTAAAATCAGTTAATTATCATGCAAATTAGGTAATTAATATTCATAGATTTTTACCCAAATCTAATCAAAATCTGCGCACTAGTTCAGAGCATCCATGTGCCAAGTTTCATCAAAATCCAATGAGTGGTTCTTCAGATATTAGTGGAACAGTCATGGAACAGGTAAAAATCAGCTAATTATCATGCAAATTAGGTAATTAATATTCATGGCTTTTTACCTAAACCTAATCAACTCTGCGCATTATCCCAGAGCATCTATGTACCAAGTTTCACCAAAATTTGATTAGTGATTCTTGATATAACGGTGGAACAAAAAAAAGTGACATACATACATACATACATACATACAGACATACAGACTGGGTAACTGCAAAGACTCCCTTTTGTGCTTCGCACACGGGAGTCAAA